CCTCAGCACCCTGCTCCTTCCACCCCAACCCCAGCCCTGCCTGTCCTTGTCACCCTGCTCCTGATTGCCCACCTGCCCTGGCCAGCCTGTGCCCACCCTTGCCAGCCCTGTCACCCTGAGCCCAGAGCCATCACTCTGCTCCCTGCCCACCCTCACCATCCCATCCTTGACCCTGCTAGAAGGGGCTGCTATACCTCACAGCCCTCCCTGGCCACAGGGTCTGGTAACCAGCATGTTCTCCTTAAATCCCACCCTTCCCTCCACTCATTTTCCCCATCTTTAGTTTATTGAACAGAAACAGAACACCAAAATGTGAGATTAATAATCCCCAGCCCTGTCACCTCTCTGGAGGGACCTGTCACAGCTTGTCCCCACCCAGAACACCACGGGGGCACAGGGGAGGGCTGGCAGAGGTCACAGCAGAAGAGGACAGTGCCTGCAGTGCAGGATTCCCTGGCTGTGTGGGCAGAACCTGCAAAGACAGCGTTGTTTTTGTGCCAGGAGCTCCTGGCACTGTGCAGCTGCCTTGGAGAAGGTGTTCCGTGTCCAGAGGTGGCACTGGAAGGCTGGGTTTAGCTCTGGCACTGCTGTTCTCCTGCTGGGAGTTTATTTTTTGGTGCCTCCTTCAGGGCTGTCTGCTCCCTGCTCTGGCATTTATTGAGTGCAGAGGCCAGTCTGGGTGTGTTTCCTTTTATTGTGTGATTTGGATTAAAACACCAGCAGAAAGTTAGGACAGAAACAACTGCCAGAGGATCTGAGTGTTTTACCATGAGTTCAACAAGTGAAAGTGGTTTTTCAGAAGAAGTAAATTCTTTATCATTTCCTGTCCTAAAAATCCCTCATCAGGTAGTGACTCATTAGTTTTGGCTAGATTAAACACACCCTAAATTCTTGTTTGAAATAAATAGGGCTTGTACACGAGTAGAATAAAGAGATAATGTAGGCTTTGCAAGAAAGCAGTCGTTTTATTGGTGTTTTGTTTAGTTCTCTGAATAACCACCCACCTATTGCCATTGTTTTATTCCTGGGCTTCATCTGCCAGATGAAGCGCTTCCCACATTTATTTTCAGGTCCTGAGAGAGGCAAATATGTCAGGAATTTAAATGAATCCAACAGCAGCACCAGATGGAGCTTGGTATTGGGCAGGCTGGAGCTTGGTATTGGGAAAGCTGGAAGGGGGGCAGGGGGAAGAAGGAGATAGAGAAGAATAAAACACGTGGTTATTAAATATTATCAACAGCAAGATTTTCATGAGTGTCTGCTTGTCCCAAGCAGAATAGAAGGTGTTAAAGGGGGCTGTGGGTGTGATTGCAAACAGAGACCAATTAGTCATGTTAGGTCTAATTGTCCTCTCACTGAAAACCTGCTGGATTTGCTGTCTGCCCCAAGATTCTCCCTCCTTGCAAAGTGTTCTTCCACAAATTCTTCCAGGAAAGCCCAAGGTGTACCAAGGTGTGAGGGTGAAGATCACAGTCAAGGAGTTGCTGCAGCAGAGGAGAGCACGACAAGCAGCCACCAGTTCAGCAGTGAGTAAAAATATTGTGGTGTTTGCTTTGTACCTTCTCTTTTAATGTGATTTTTTTTTGCCAAGACCGTAATCTCTGGGCCAAAATCTGAGTGTAACCGGCTGGTGAGGATGGGGGAAAAGAATATTCAGCCAGAGTAGCTGCAGCAGTGTCCTTAAGGAGTGAGAATCTGAGGAATGCAGGGAGAAAACAGAGCTGCTGCTCCAAAAAAGTCACTCCCTCTGGGATGGAAGGTTCACCTGGGCAGCCCCATCCCTTCTGGAGGAGGGGATGGAGCTCTGTGTGCACAAACACATGCACATTCCCCCTCATTCCCTCTTCCAGCCTTTGTAGGATTCCTCCAGCTCCAGCCACTCCGGGGATTTGCATAAAGAGCTTGGCAAATCATTATTTCTTCCTGGTTCATGACTTTGCAGCTCTTGAAGCCTTTCAGATTTCAGCCTCTGCACCTTGTTGCAGCTGATTGCACAAAAATCATCCAGGGAGCCAGGGGCAGAGAGGTCTGGGTGAAGAGAATTGTCAGGTTTTGGAAACGCTGGGTCACTCCTCCCCACCAGCAGCAGCCTCTTCATCCCAGCCAGGTGTCCCAGGGCTGCTTGGAACCGGTTTTCACTTCCCACCGGCACTTGACACAACCCCTGTGGTGCCCACAGAGGAAAAAGTGAAAAGTGGCAGTGAGGGAAGTCACCTCGGTGACCTGCACAAGGTATGGCCTGCCCCAAAACCCCCGAGGCTTCGGGCTGGCAGGATGGGAGCTGGGAAAAGCTCAGCCTGGGGACTCCATCTCTGTCTGCCTTGTCACATCTGCACCAGGGAAAAAAGGCACTCTCAGCCCAGAAGAGCCACTGTTTAAGGAATTAAATGCATGGGATGTGCTAGGAAGTTGTTGCCAGGGAAATGAACTGCTCACTCGAGAGCATCTTGAATGAAGGAAGGGCTGTATGAACTAAAATGGAGGGAAAAAAATCCAACGGTATTTGTACTTGCAGAGTAAAATCCTGGCCCTCAAGCATCAAAACTCCTGTTGCTTTTGGGTGGATTTCTCCCTTCCAGCAGGTCAGGTTCCTAGAAGTGGTTGATCTGTCTTGCTTCAGCTTCCAACATTCCTAAAAAAATGATGCTGTCCCTTTCCAAGGAGCACTGCCAGAGCTGGTTCTCAAACTGCGTCAATCCAGTCTGATGGGATACCTGTGGTGGTCTTTAATTAATTACTCACTCTCAGTAATATCCATCCCTACGAATTCCTTGGGATTCCCTCCACTGTGGAATTCACACTCCCGAAATTAACACGCATTAATTTCAGTGTCAGCTCCGTAGAATCGGGAATGCAGCAAAAAGAGCCCCTCAGGTTCAGGGGCTTCAGCTCGGTGCTCTGGTTCCCAGCGCTGTCACCTGGAAAAATGGTGTTATGCACATTAATCTCATGTTCTTTCAGTGCTGGGGAGGTTTCCCCAGCCACAGCTATGAGGGAAATAAGGTTTATTTCAAGAGTTTGCTCGACTCACCTTGCTCTGTGCCACAGCTCCTCTCCTTCCCTTCTCTTCGCTCAGGTTTCCTGGGGCAGCAGCAGCGGCATCCAGTTTGCAGAGTCCGTGTCTCCGCCTCACCCAGGTTGGTACAAATCCCATCCACACGACCCTTCCTGCCCCATTCCCAAATTTTCCCACAGCCCCGAGCATTCCCAGCCCTTGTTTGAGGCTGGCAGCAGCCGTGGTGCGGCCAGTCAGCACCGCAAGGAGCCCGTGGGATGCAGATGAGGAGCTCAGGAGCGCACTCCATCCCAAGGAATTGCATCCCCTTCGGGAAGGGCTGCTCATCCCTAGGGAATAACATCACCTTCCCCAGGCTGTGGGTGCCACCGAGGGTCAGAGTGCCCTGGAGCATCTGGCTGAGTTCTGTTCTCTTCCCCCTCTCCTGCCGGCACCCATAGGAGTGAGAGAAATACCAGATTTTCAACACCACCAAGAGTTTCCTCCTCCTGTCTGAGAATATCCAAGGAAAAGGGGGAAGGGGTGAGGGGAGGGGCACTTCGGGCTCACAGATCCTTCAATTATCCCCAGCCAAAGCACAGAGGAAAGGCTGGGCAGGTGTGAATGCACACATTGCATGGACAAGGAAATTGTTAACTCATCGATAGCTGGGAATCCATTTGCTTATGTTAACAAAGAAACGTGAGACACAGCTGACATGCTAAAGCCTTTTCAGGCTGGAAAGTCTCCATAAGTTTATGTATTCTGGGTGTTTCTCACTCCCCACAGCCAGCTAAACACTGCCACCTTTGACCCTGCAATGTGCACTTCAGACCTGTGCCCTTCACGTGGACAGGGCTTAAACCATGTTTGAACTCAGTGGGAAAAGATAATAATTCTGAAAAGCCAGATCTGCTGTGAGCTTTCCAGGAACTCACCCTTTGGCCAGTAACAGGACGTGGTCACAGTGCCACATCATCCCTGGCTCACTCCATTTGTTCTGCTCACAAGTTTGTCTCCTGCCTGGCTGTTTGCAGGAGAGAAAAAGCAAATTATCCTCCTGTTATGCCCTTTTTCCTGCAGGTGTAGCTGCCCCGGGTCTGGGGATGTGCAAAGGCACATCTGCCAGGCTGGGAAGCAGAAATCACTGCCTGGCATCTTCTGGGGCCAGAGGGTCAAGAGTCTGAGGGGAGTTTCCAGCTGGATCCCTGTCCAAAATGCCTGGGCCCAGAAGGGTTTCCAGCATTTAAAGATCTTTATAGCTGAGGGGAGCTGGATTCCCTGAGTAATCCATGTGCTTTTGAGCATCTCCCTCCTGGCTTCTGCTTTCCTACAAAATTCACCTTGCCCTTGAATGGCCTGTTTTAATGTCTAAATTCACAGGGTTACCGAGCACAGGAGAGCACTGAAACCTGGCCTGGGGCAGCACCTCCCCTCTGTGAAGACAGACACTGATTAATTTGCTGCTGGCTGCTTTCCTTTCTCTCCTAGAACCTTTTGAAGCAGAACCCATCCCTCCTGTGCCCAGCTGCTGCCCGTCCTGGCAGTTTTCCAGCTGCCTCTCCTGTGAGGAAAGCCCTGGGTACCTGGAGCAGCTGATAGATTCCTGCCTCCAGGAGCCACCCTCGGAGCCAGCCTTCAGTGCCCTGCAGCCCTCCTCACACTACACCCCAGACACCTTCCAGCCAGTCCAGCTCTGCTTCAACCAGGGCCTGGTGAGCTTTGGGAGCCAGGGGAGCAGCCACAGGTGTCCCCAGAGGGAAAGGGAGTCACATCCTGGGGGCAGAACAGCGGCAGTGTGGGAATCTGGCTGCTTTTAGGAACCTGGGATGCTCATGGGTTCTGAATGCTTTCCCATGGGGAGCCCCAAATACACTGGGAGGGGCTGCAGGATGGGGAATGTCTCTTCTAGAGGTCCTGTAGATTTTCTGCAAATAGCAGCACAGTTCCTGCTAGAGATTTAGGGATTTCTGTAGGGATCCCTTACAGAAACTGCCTTTGGGTTTAGACCTCCAAGATCTCCCTGGGCAGCCAGACCCCTCTGAGAAAGGCTGAGAGATTCTGGCTGCTGGCCACATTTCCCTGAAATCTCATTTTTTTCCCTTTTTCTTTTCCCCTCTCTCTCAAACTCCAGGCTGCCAGCTCTCCCAGCTCAGCCGACCTGCCCAGCCCATGGAACTCCAGCTGCTCTCCCCCTCAGCTCTCCCCCCTGACCCCGCTGCCCCCCAG